ATGATCGTCTTACTGTGAAAATATGCATGTTAAGCATGTGTTCCTAGTATCAAATTTTGCGATTTAAGTCACCCTCTTAAATAAAAACATATATATAGGTATAATTCTACTTGACCGATTCAATCTGACCGTACGACCACTACAATAGGTTTGGAAACGATTGTTAGAAGGTATTGTGTTTATAAGAAATCGTATTCATCCTATTCACAATTCACGTACAAAAGTATTTGTGAATTATATACAGCATCTGAATGATCATCTTACTGAAAAGAGGCATGTTACGCATATGTTCCTAGTATCAAATTTTGCGATTTAAGTCACCCTCTTAAATAAAAACATCTATATAGGTATAATTCTACTTGACCGATTCAATCTGACCGTACGACCACTACAATAGGTTCGGAAACGATTGTTAGAAGGTATTGTGTTTATAAGAAATCGTATTCATCCTATTCACCATTCACGTATAAAAGTATTTGTGAATTATATACAGCATCTGAATGATCATCTTACTGAAAAGATGCATGCTACGCATATGTTCCTAGTATCAAATTTTGCGATTTTAGTCACCCTCTTAAATATTAACATCTACATAGGTATATCCTCTGTGTAATGTGACCGGCCGCCCACTACAATAGGTTCAAAAATGATTCACGGATGGTATTGAAAGTATTCATCCTGTTCATATACAATTCTGAGTTAAAGTATTTGTGAACTAAATTCAGCATCGGAATGAACATTTTACCGACAAGGTACATGCCAGTCTTTACTGCGTAGATCGTTAAATTTGGGTGATCTACCATCTCTGACTGAGTTTAGGGGATGTGCTCAGCGTATTAAGGTGACAACTAGACTCGAGAATAATTTTTATTTTCTTCCGGTCAGAACAGTTGTGTTTTTGCACGTCGAATATCCGCAAGAATGTTCGTCGGTATGATACCCACTTACCTTATATTTGTAGTTTTCATAGATAATCATTCGATCAACCACCAACATTGAAAATTTATAATTTGGTTTTTCCAATCTGGAAAAACCATTCCCGCATTAATAGCAGACAAATAATCTGATTGAAAAAACAAGATCGTCATTACAGGGCGAAGCAGTAACAGAAACGGTAAGAGCAGTTTAAGTAGGTGAGATCTGACAAATAGCAGGGACGCAGGGTTAACAGTAGGGCTCTCGTGATTACAAAATTAGCAGATAATAAAATAAACGTCTTGAAACAAATACTCAGGCAACTAAAACAACGCAATTACAACATAATATGAGAGTTTACTGCTGATAGTCGTGAGGTGAGACCGTTATAAAATAAATATATTAATATTAATTTTTTTAGCAATCTATTTTACTTAGTAATATGATATAAATTAAAGTTAATAGGCGATAGCATAAACTATTTTGAAAATGTCACGGTGTAGCCGTGTAGGTATATAAAATATAAAAAAAAAATTAAGATTTCTATCCCCATGAAAAGTAATACAACCATGAAATACAACCTACCGTACCAACCTACAACGTAACCCTTACAAACAGCTAATGGCCCTAGTTGCCGGGCTTAAGTTCAATAAAAAAAAAAAAAAAATAAATAATCAAATTGTTATTCTTAGAACAGACATGGAGTATTGATCAAATTTTAATTTTAGATGTTTATAAAAAATAAAAAAATTTATGTTTATATCTATATATTTTAAATTTTTTATTGGTTCCAGTATAAATTTTAAATCGCTTAAATATGAAGAACCTTGTGATAATTATATCATATTATAATTTATGAGGTGGTAGAAATCTAGTTGATACTTTGGACGTCAAAAACAAAAAGCTCCTTAACTTTTTTAAATAACCAGGAAAAATTTACAAAAATTTTATTACACAATATCATTTTTTGACTAAATATTTTTTTGGTTTAATTGAAAAACAAATTATTTTAGATTCTTAGAACGTTTACTAAATTCAATTTTTTCCGATGAACAGATTGGTGTTATTTTTCATTAAGCACTATTGGAATTAATAATAAATATGCTTTTATGAACGAAAAAATATTGGAAATATGATTGACAGACAATTGAACAACCTCATTAGATAGTTCATGTCTTGCTTGGTCTATATCACTGAGAGAAAAAAAGAAAATATTTTATATTGGTGTATTACTGTTTTTCAAATCATTTAAAGATCAATTAACTAATACTTTTATAATTTGGTATAAAAAATATAATATATTTAATACATTATTTAATGTAAAAATAAATAAAAGTTTTATTTTTGTAATAATTATTAACAATTTGTCTAGTTGTAACATTTACGCAGTATATATAATCAATTGGGTACTTTAAAATTAGATATTTAATATTTTTCTGATGTATCAATTTATCAATATAAAATATAATTGAACTTGTTTTTAAAATCATGAGGAATGAGAGATGACTGATAAACATCATAATATACCAATCTTTAATCTCTTATATATACGAGGATTGATTTCATAAGATATCTCCAAACAATTAATTGTACTAATATATAAATATATTTGTTAATTTGTAGTTTATTAATGCTCATTTTAAATTAATTTGTAGTTCATTTCAAAATAGAATGTTAAAGAACTTTTTTGCATTGTAATTAAATATTAGATTTTTAGATCAAAATCTTCAAATAACTTAGTTTAATCATTTAAATAAAATAAATTTATGTTTAGTGAGGAACAACTTAACAAATGTTTAATACAATTTTAAAATATTCACTCATGCCATCTGGAAAAGGAAAAGTTAACTTATTAACTTTAAATAATAAAAAAAAAAAAACAAAACAAATTTTCAAAATCAAATTTAGTGTATTAAAATCAAAGACAAAGTAAACTAAATCAAAATCAGCTTGTGTTTAACATGAACAGCAGTCGATAAATCCTTAAAACTATCACATTACTTATCTACTGAAGCAAATAAGATTTATATTCTTTATAATATGTAAAAATCCCTAAGTCATTTTTTTTTAATATAATTATTTAGAATGAAATAACATTAGTTTAATGTTATTAATGACCAATCACTTAAAAAACAATCGACTTTAATATACAATATAAAATGGGATGTGGGTCAAAAATAAAATCAATTAAAACAAAATCTCACTACAAATTAACATATTAACAGTGAAAACTAAAAATAAATTTAAATTAAACAATGTCATACTATTTAATAAAAATACTCTGTTATGAGTAAATAAAATGGATATAAAATAAAGCTGTTATAAAAGAAATTCTGTGCAAGAGCAAATTAAATTAAATGTTTGACTCTTAATATTGTTCAATTTAAATTTAATAACATAAAGATTTATTTTAGTTTAAATTTATGTAGTTCAACACTTTGTTGCACTTACGATTTTATACAAATTCAATTAATAAAATAACAATACATATTGGAAAGACGAAGGATTCTTCTTTAAATAATTATAATTTATATTATAAATACATTAAGTCTTTTTCATGAACAATACATTATTTTCTCAAAATGTTGCATTTTAAAATTATATTTATACAATTGGTTACTTAATTTTTAACTTTTCAATAAACATTTTCATGTATTCAATTTCTTTGGTAATTTTCAAAACAAAATAGTATATATAAATAAATAATAAACAAAAACAATTATCTATTATAATAGTACACTATTATCTTTACAAACAGATTTACAAATTAAACAAAACAATGTTTAAGTTAATTACAAAGTTTTACACTTTATATTACTAATCCTATATACATCATTGAAAATAACTCTTCTTTTGAGTTTTCAAAAAAGAAAATATATATATTATATTATGTGTATTATTCAATTCTTGAATAATACATTTGACTGAATTTCTATTTGAATAGTATATATTTATTTGTCATAAATATAACAAACATTTGTACATTTTTTGATAATAATTTAAGTACATTATCTGGGAAGCAAATATATTTGTTTACATAAATTATACACTCCATAATATTTATTAATGCAAATAAAAATGTTTCTAGCATCATTGAAAATATAGTAAATTATGATTATTTTAATAGGATAACAAAATAAATTCACCAATGAATGTATAATAAAACAAATTATGGTAAATTGCACTCAAAACAAGAAAAAAGAATACAAACAATATAATTTATAAATATATATATATATATATATAGAGTATATATAATGTAATGATTTAGTTTAAAGTAAAAATAATAAAATAATGAATAAAAATATTTTTTAATTGTAAAATATATTTGAACCATACGCTACTTTAAGTTTGTTGTTTGAAAAGTATGATCGATTCATAGTACATTATATTCAACTAAGAAAAATTATTAACACGCAAGCAAAGGGTATATGTAAAATTATTTTGAAAAAATTTTTTTAATTAATTTAATACTTAATTTTCAAAGCGTTTTAATTTATAAAGTATTTAAGTTTTATTCTTTATAAAATGTAAAAATTCATATATTTTTACAATAAACTAATGTAATTAAATATTAATGTATACATGTAACTAAAATAATACTTGCATCTTAAAGGAAATTAAAAATATATAGATTACCCCTTACTTAACATGAAACAATCTAGAAAAAAATATCAAATTGTCTTTAATGTTTTCTGATAAAAAATATAGTTTAAATTTAAACCATACAATCATAGATGAAATAACAATAATGATCAATGTATTATGGTACAGTTAAAATATTTTTTTTACTTTTCAATAATGAAGTGAACAAGTTAAACATAAGGCTTGTATTTAAAAAATACATCATATATAATACTAAATCATTGATGTATATGTACAATGCTACTCATTAAAAATTATTGTATGATAATAAAATATTTGATCATACAAATGATTTTTTTTTTTTAAATATTTAATTAAGTATTCGATTGAGATGATACAAATTGTTAAAAATAAATAAGGTAAAATATATTAACTAATTTGTAAATTAAAAAAAAAAAACGAGAAAAAAAAAAAACAACAAATATAATTTAGTTTAGAAAACAGTTTAAAAATGGATATAATTTATAGTAATAAGCAAAACCAAACTAAGTGTAAATAATGGCAATATTTAATGAAATTGTATAATTTTGATTTTTTTTTTTTAAATGTATATATATTATAATATATACATATTATAAATTAATGACTACATATTTTCTGATTTTCGTGCTAGATAATCCTCCAGCATTAGTAATGGTAACTTAAAGTAGCATTTAATAAACAATATATTTTTACACTTAAATTCTGAAATTAATCAAGTAGTTTTTCTAGAGACTCTCCTGAGAGATGCTCGCGTCGATGTTAGCTTACAGGGTGAAATATCTAGCTGTGGAGATTTATTTGATACGTTCTGATTATTCTTGACATTATTGTTTTTGAGACGACTCGATATTCTTCTATTACTACATTCTTTCTTCTCAACTACTGGCTTTTGTTCAGGTGCCTGAGTCTTCATATTATTTAGTTTAGGAAGGTCAGATTTTTCTTCATTTTCTTCTGATGTGCGCCCTCTATACATTCGCTTTATTACTTGAGATTCAATAAATCCATCTTCTTCAACGTTTTTGCGTTTACTTTTACGAAAGTTATAATGTGGTGTGCCACTGCTAATTGTTGAAGTACTGTCTTCAGACATACATGTTTCTGAATCCATGGCAGTAGTATTTGATGGTGATTCTGGACATGAATCAATTTGTTCAATTGAATCTATAACAGTCTTTAAACCATTTATAAACGGTTTTGTCTCACTATCGTTAGAATCTTGATTCATTTCATTGTATAAAGCTTGTTTTAAAAATGATACTTTTGTTTTGTTTTTCTTGCAAACACTTGTCTGTTCAACACCAGATGGAATAACTGTAGAAGTAGTTGTATGAGACAAAACTGATTTGCGTCTAGCTTGTAAAGCATTAGTATCATTTGACTTTGATGTAGATGCTTGTAATAGGCCAAGTGTCGGACTTACAGATTTATCTAAATCATTTAATATGGCTACTTCAGGAAATAGTTCGTTTGTACTTGGTTTATCAACACCAAGACCATCAATATCTTCATATAAATCATACTCCTTAGGTGTTTCAACGTTATTATCAAACTTTTTACATTGCTCAACAACAAATACTTTCAAATCTTTGAAAGTTTTTATTTTGGTACGTTGAAATGATTCTTGTAATCGTTTTAAATTATCACCTTCCAACATTTTTTCAGTTCCTGGAAGCATTATTTTGGATAAACAATTAATCCAGTTTTTCGCCGATTTGTCATTTTTTAAACGAAGTGTCAATGATCCAATTTTTGTATGAGTGCTGGAGGTAGATTGATTGTCTAACATATTATACACAGTATTACTTAATGTATTTTCATTTTCATTTTCCGATTCACACTCAGTTTTTACAGCTTTTGGTGATAATTCATCTTTTTGTTTATCTAAAAATAAAACAAATAAAGAATTGGGTTCATTAATAATAATTTCAAGTTATTATACTAGATAAATGCTTTAAATTAATTATTTTATAAATATTAATTTAATAATAATATGAAGAAAATAGAAATAGTTCATCAATAGTTTTTAATGTTATAATAGATCAATTATTTACAATATAAGATTATTTTTTAGGCCAACTAATAAATTAAAATGACAGAAAATTATTTAACCATAATGTTTATGTAAACATGGTTGCTATTAAAAATTTCAAAATAAATAAAACTCATTAATCATATTCAACCTTTAAATAGTTTAAATTAATTAGGTCACTTTACCATGTAAATAAAAATGTGTATTTTTATATTTTATTATCGCTAAAAAAAAATGTTGGATATTAATATAAATTATTGTTTATTTTCTTATTTGAATTGTAATTTATGTCACAGTAAATAAGCTAAGAAAAATTATTTTAAAGTTAGTTTTTTAATATTTACAATTTTTTGTAATAAAATTACATAAAATATGAAATGAAAATATAACAATTAAAAATGTATTTAATAGTTATTATTATAGTATATACTATTCATTATATTCCAGGGTAGGTTATAAAATTTATTATAGGTGATTAACAAGGCTCGAAAGTTGTAATACTAAATAGTAAATACGTTACTTTTTAACTTTTGAATATGCACTTAAAAACTTTGAAATAAGTGTTATAAATAGCTAAAAAAAATAAGCATTTAACTTGAAAAAAATCATAAATTTACAAGAAAAAATGATTAAATGTAATTTCACAATTTTATAATTTACATTTAAAAAGTAAAAAACTTTTTTAAGAATTGAATATTTTTAAAAATATAAACAAGTAAATCATTATTTTTAATAAAATGCAAATATTTCTTATATTATGTGAAAATATTACCTAAAATAGGCTATTAAATTAACTAAAAACACTAAAATAACAAAATAGCAATAAAAACCATAAATTTGGAAAATACAGCAAAATAAAATTTTGTGTATGACATCAGAGAAGTGTGAAACATATTAAATTTGTATTTTTACTTTGGTTGTTCTAGAATGAACCAAGAAAAATATGCATTTGCTACAACTTCCGAGCCCTGGTAATTAATATATATGGAACTATTATAATTTTATCAAGTTACTTTATGAATATAGGCAATCAAACTTAACCACCTAAGAAATTAAAATAAAAAAACGATTTGAAGTTATACTAACCTATGTCTTTTTATTACAATGTGTTAAAAATGAACAATTTAAAGAAACAATAATAAAAATTAGTACTTACAAGTATTAGATGTTTGGTTGACGGTTGAAATAATTTCAGCAGCTGAAGCAGCAGCAACATTGTCTAACACTATGTTTGACTTGTTATCTTCTTCTTCTACTTCAACTTCTACTTCTTTTTTAGGGCTTACAAGTTCTAAAATATTAGGTCTTTCCTTAATAGTAATATCACTTGTGATGTGTTCTTGCTTAACTACTATTGTACTATCCTTACACTCCATACTATGCATATCCTTTACATCATTAGATATTTTATTGTCACTCAAACGATCAACTAAAGTTTGATTTGTATTAGTATTCTCAAATTTGTTTTCATCAGAGTTTAATGTGTTTTGTTGGTTGTTTTTAATATTGGAAATAGTTAAATTTTCATTGGTTTCTTCTTCTTTATCATCATGAGTATGAAATGATGGAAACTCAATATCGTCATAATGAAGACTACTGCTTTCTAAAGAATCAGGTGGAATAAAAGGGGATTCTTGTTTAAGAGCTGTACTTAATTTTTCTTGTTTATTAACAAATGGATTTATATTAGAGTTATTAATCTGTTCTTGGTTTGTGTTTGTATTTTGTTTGTTATCACAATAGTCTTTATGAATACTTTCTGAAATATTATTTTGAGCTTCAGATAATGATTCATTATCATCAGTTGGTTCTGATTTAGGTGTACATGGAAGGGTATGTATGACACTGAATGTACTTTGAGATGCTTGATTTTTTTTCATTACTGGAAATGATAATTGTTTTTCATTTTTATCAAGTACTTGAGCTTTTTCCATTGACTCCAAAAGAATATCAGGTTTATTTATTTTATGATCAAAGTTTTGTAAAGTGTTACGTAACATTTCACTTCCTAAACTTGTATTAGAAATTTGTAAATCATCTGATGATAAAGATGATAAGATAGTTGATTCATTAATGTTCTGTCCTACTACATTAGATGCCATTTTAACGTCATTTGAGCAAGAATCTTTAGCGGTGATTTGATGAAAAACTACAGGTCCTGGTCCAGTTACAGGACAATGTAGTCGGTACATTTTTTGATTATTCCCAGCTGCAACGAGAAGTCTAACATTTGCTGCATTACCATCAGGTATAGATAAAAAAGATCCAGATGCAGCACCACTTACAACAATTTGGGTAGATTGAGAAACTTTAGACTTCATTTCGGCTTCAATATTCATTTTTTTAATGACATCATTAACATTAATTAATGTATTTTCCATTAAAGGGGTTTCTGAAATTACTGTAGATTGTTCATCTGAATTTCTAGATGGAGAGTTGATAATATGTGAAAAATGACTAACAGCATTAGAACTATCCTCACTGTCAATAGCTTGCATATCAGATGTAGGACTCATTTCCATACCAGATGATGAACAAGAAGTTTGCTGAGAACATGTTTTTAAATTTAAGTGATTCGTCTTTTTACGTTTAGTATTCATGCTTGGATTTGTTGGTGGATTAGTTCGACGTCTAGGTGCTGGTTTATTTTTTAATTCAGGTGAATTACGAAGTTGTTCAGCATATTTATCAAGTATTGCATATATGCGCTGAGTTGTTTGTTCATCTTCTTGTAATTTAGGCAAAGGTTTTTGCAAAACTGGAACTTTTACAGCTGAAGTCGATGGTGAACTTGCTGGTGATTTAATAACAGGTTTTACTTTATTTGCTATTTGCTTAGAACACTGAGTAGTATCAGCTGGATTAACAGATGTATTGCTGTTGTTAGGCGATGTTAATGGTGGGGTGGGAGTAACACTACGAACTGAAATTATAGTTGGTTGTATTGATACTGGTTCTTTATCATCATTTGCTAAATCATTTACATTTGACAATGTTTGATTCAAAAATGAAAATGAACAACGATCACGTTCGCTATTTATATTAGATTTTTTATTCAAAGGAAACAACGTTTGATTACTATCACTATTAAGCAAGTCAACATTTTCTGTAGGAGAAGGAATTTGTATTATTTCATGATTTATTTGAGGTAAAATGCTAGCTGTACTCATTTCATTCATCAAAGAAGTTTTCCTTACTTCTTCTAACACCGATTCAAACTCCCTCACTTGTTCCATCATCAAAGTGCTTACATTGGTTTCTGAAATATTTGGTTTAATAGTACTTATTGATATTTTATTGTTTGAAGACTCAATAGTAGTTTTTACAATATTTGCCACATTCACTGGTAAGATTCTTTCTATTGATGATGTCTGCACTTCTGTACTTTGTTTACCTCGAAAACTATTTTGTTGCCAAGTAGGATGTTTCCGTAACACTGTTTGAATTATTGATGGAGACATTTTAAGTTGTCTTTGTAGCTGTGTTACACCTTGTAAAGGTTTTTCTACATTTGTATTAGATTTTGTTTCATTTAGTATAGGAAATGAATATATTAAATTTGAACTAGATGATGCTATTGATGAATTAATACAACTAGTGATAAATGTTGTTGGAACTTTTGAAATAGGCATACCAGTGAGTCCTTTTTTAATTTCAATATTACTGGTAAGAATTTGATGATTAGACGATGCTGAAACTTGTGGAATATTGTTTGCAGAAGTAACAGCCTTACATGTCATTATAACATTGTTTTTGTTGTTTCCAATTGTCATAACATTACTAGATTTTGACATATTAACAGTAGTATGCTGTTGCTTATTTTCTACTACTTTTGGTGGAATACAGTTTATATTAGGAATAATTGTATCTACATCATGATTAGTCTGTACACCTTTTGAAGACGAATACACACGTGATGTTGGTGTATTAGTACGATTAACAATTGGCCCAAGATTTGAAGATAGATTACTCACCACACTAGTTGAACACAAAGATGAAGTATCATTAATAACAGTTGAATTTGGAAATTTTGTTTTGCCGAAAACTTGTTGAAATCTTGGCAACATCGAGCCTGTAATTGTAATATTAGGAGAAGCATTTGGGGAAATTTTTGGCTTTTCCAAGCATTCTTTAGATTGTCGATTTTGCATTTTTATATTAGTAGAAGTATTATTTCTTGGAGAGATAACTGATTTAGTAGGCTCTATATGGCTAACATTATCATCTTGAACTGCATACAATGTTCCTTTCTCAAATACAAACATATCAGACATATTAGCTTGTTTAAGAGCTCTAGTTTTACTTTCATAAGTTCTCATATTACCTCGTCCTCTAGTCGATAATTTAGAACTTTGATCATTTTCTTGGCTAATATGAGACACACCTTCTGAAGAACTTTGAAAAACTGCAAGATTTGATAAACTGTTTTTATCTGTACTTTGAATAAGACGTTGTGATTCTGTACTACTAGTAACAAATTTAATTGCTTCTGATGTAGCAGTAAATGTTTGGCTTATTAATTTCAGATTGTCAATCTTTTTTTGTTCATCAGATCTATTTGTTTGAGAAGTAAGACTTAAGTCATTAAGCTGCATTCTTTGATTATGTGGGGATGTATATGTTGAATTATGCACATTGGATTTAATAACCTGACTCTGTGTTGAAGCAATCATCAATGATATCACTGAAGCATTAGTATGAGAAACTTCATTGGGTAATCGTAAACCAGCACATGTTTGAGTTTGTATGCTTGAAACTGGATTTATCATAGGAATGTTTGATTTTAAGTTATTAAATGAATTTTCCTTTATAAATGCTGTGTTCACAATAGCAGAATTGTTCATTTTACTATTAGCAGAATTCATTCTTTGATCATTTAAAAAAGGTACATTAGTTGAAGTCGAATTATCAGTGATATTGGTACCTACTTGTATTCCTTGATCGTTAGGAGACATAATACTTTGTATACCTTCAGATTGTTGGTTGTTGAAATTAACTTGCAATCCTACTGATGTTTGAATTGGAGAATTTTGTTGAATTTTTGATTCAAAATTTGATTTATTCGTGTTCATTGCTAGTGGTATATTTGTAGAACGATTACTATTAGTTGATATAGAAGAAATTGATGATGGCAATGATAAATCAATAAATCGATCACATGTTTTAACACAGTAAGTAGATGGTTTTTTGGTTGTATAAGTAATCTGTCCAGTAGTTTGATTAACATGACTTGGATTTATCACATCAGATGTTCTAACTATCACATTTGAGGATAAATGTACACCACTTTCAACAGTAGATTGTTGTCGTTCTCCAGAATTTTGTGGTTGAATATCATTCCAATGTTGATGATCCATGTTAATTTGATTTTGATCCAACAACACATCCTGTGTCCCAATTGGTTTATTTGGATCTTGCTGAACAGTACTTTGAACATTTGTAATTGAATCAGTAGTAATCTTTTGATTGCTTACAGATACACTTCCAGTGAAACTACATTCTCCTTGTTGAATTCCAACATTTTGAACAGGGTTATCTAACGAATTTGATTGATAAACTGAAACAAAATCATCTAATGAATGAGTGTTAGTTTGGTTTTCACTAGTTTTTTTTTCTATTTCATTATTAGAATGATGATTTGAAACTCGTTCTGTTTGAGTTTGTGAAACATTTGTAAGGGTATTTGATGTTGTTTGAATTTGTACTACATTAACTATGCGATCTGTATTTGCTGGCACAATAAAATCTAATGAACTTAGTTGAGGTATTCGTTCTGACAACATACTTAAATGTTCATTATTGGAATGCGAAAGTTCAAAATTAGATTGGTTTTTGATTAAATCACTATTACACGATATTTCCATTGAGTTGTTTTTAACAGATTTTCCTTTTTTTCTTAAGTTCCATGAATAGTCAAAATCTTTGTGTTGATTTTTGTTAACAGTCCTTTTTTCTCGTGTCACTTTTAGCTGAGGTTTGATTTTTTTAAGCTTTGCATCATTTTTTTCAGTTGCTTTATCAGTTTCTTCTAAAACAGAATCAACAGAATTATCTTCAATCTCACTATTAGTATTTATATTTTTGTATTGAGCTTCATCATTTAACATGGAACCAACTGTTGAGTCATCAGTTTCATCAATACTAATACTTTTATTATATCTTAAGCTTCGCCGTAAACCAACCCTAGGTTTTGCTTGAATAGCAGCAATGGGTTTTGGTTTACTTTTAGGATTAATTTTGCGCCGTTTCCGAGAACCAGCCTTTCGTTTACGTGAACCAAATTTTCGTTTTCTTGAACGACTTTTGGATGATTTATTCCTATAACTCACTATTTCTCCTGATGAAGCGATTGACGCTATTGACTCATCATCACTATAATTATTATCGCTGCTAAAATAACCTTTATCATTAGTTAATTGTTTCATATTTATTTCTGTCAACTTGTTATATTCATCAATATCAATATCAAGGTATGTTAAATCAGATCGTTGAAGTGTATTTCGCTTTATCACCAAATCCAAGTTTTCTAAATATTGTTGACATAAATTTTTCATCTTTGGCCATTCTAAATTCCAATTGAACGTTCCATAACGAGGGTACTTGATAACTGAAATAAGGTCTTCTTGCATAATTGGTGTTAATGGATCATTCAAAACACTAAGATCAGAATGAATCTGGAAATAACTTTTTTCAGAAGCATCAAGAATAGATTTAGGATCTATATAAGGTTTACTGGTTTTTGATTTACGTTTACGGCTAGATTTATTAGAAGTAGAACCCTTTTTAGATTTTTTACAGGAATTTTCAGGAACATTAGTTGGATTTTCTGAGTTTAGCTTACCACTTTTAATAGCCAAACTTTCTACTCTCATCATGAGATCACTGGAAGGCATTAAAGAATATGCCGTTAATACACATTCTCGGCAAATACTTAAAATATCTTCAAGTAGATTAGCCAATTTTAAATATCCTTGGACTAACTTTTTTAACGATTCAAATGATCCATCTCTATCACTTAATTGTTTGCATTTTTCTTTTTCATTTATATTAGTGGATAACGCTTTGATATACATTTCTATGTATAACGTCCGAGGTAATTTAGAACCAAACTGTAAAGAAAAAAAAATACTAGTTAGAAAATATAATGAAGTGTTACAAATTAAAACATCAATAGGTTCTAAAAAAATTATGTTTAATAATGAATTTCATTCATAATTTAAATTATATTTAATAGACAACATATTTATAGTTAATAAAAATATTATAATCAAAGTAAAGAAAAAGTTATCAATTATTTAAAAATATTTATAACGCGTGTTAGAGTAATAATTAACTTTTTAACCAACAATGTTTTACAAATTATACTAAAATAGGGAAAAGTAATATTTAAATTTGAAAATGTATTAAAAATATAACCATCCAAAGTATTAAATTAATACTTGAGTTTTTTTAACTTGAAATAATATAATTTATAAAATTAAAATATACAATATTTGAAAAAAGTAAATTTGTGTTCACAAAATATTTTTAAAAAAATAAGTGAATAAATAATTCACATATAGCTAATAGAACATGAAAATGAATAAAACTTATATTTTATCTATATGACAGAATAAAAAATATTATACTATTATTATACAATATTTACGATTTTTTGAAATGTTAAAGTAATTTTAAAAATATGTGGTACAAAATATGCATTCAACATAAGTCCCTTATTTTAATATATGTTTAGATTTATGTAACATAACTTATATTAAAAAAATAGTTATTTTTATAATTGATTTAGTTTTTTGGATTGATAACGAAAGAATATGAGACAACTTTGACTTTACAAATTAAATGTCAAATTATAACCTACAACTGTATGCTATAATATGACTTTGATTTCAATAAATTTGATTCGCTCACTACATTAGAAGGATTTTATTGGCTATATAAATAAAGGTATTTTATTTTATTATAATAAATAATATAGCTTTAAATATTATTTCTATTATATTTTATCAAATTTGCTTATTGTACACATGATACAAATTGTAAATATATATTTAAAAAAAAAAAATATATATATTATTGTAATAATAATAATAAAAAAAATAACATTAAAAAAAAATTATTTAAGCTATATTATAGCTTTAAATTATATACTCAATATTTTAATAAATATTAATAAGATAATAATTTTGAAAACAGGATTTTTTTAAATAAGAATGTTAATATATAATTTTTTTTTTTAATACATTCACTGAAAATAATGCCAAATAGCACCAATTAATATTGTTATTATGTGTTAAATGTCATCAATTGACATACATCTACATTGTTATTAAATGCACTATAATTTGATCAGTATTATGATTTAACTATTAGTTTTTTGTCGGAGTCTCCCATAAGTATTATTTTATATTATGTATTTGGTTGAATATTGGTAATTTATTTTTTCAATTTTCAAGATTTTTTTTAAACCTACATTTGTACACATTGTATATAAATAAATTATATTTTCAAACAAACTTTCTGAAAATTTAGAAAGAAAACTAAATGTAATGTATTTTATAATAGAAAATAGCAGGTATATAAAAATATAAAATAGGGTATTTATGAAATATAAAATAAGGTATTTATAAAAATAAAATTGAAAATTAAAATAATTAGTTAATATGCATAATTTAATATTGTATTCAGAAGTTTATAGTACTAAAAATATGAACATTAAAGGTGAATTTTATTTGCCCCAACAAAAATAAATATATCATTATTATTAAACATAAGTTTTTAAAAGTTACAAAATTAATTATTTTGTAAATATTTTTACTCACTTCACAGTAAAGAACATCGCATAACAAATATAAATGACTAGCTGATGGTGCAACATCAATAAATGTTTGAATCATACTTTTTATATTGAAGTAATCCATATCAGGTTTTAAATCAGTTTCCATCAATGTCATCACTATAAGACTCCATTTCTTTATGAAGTCAGCAATATTTTCAAAAATATCAGAGCTTTTTAATGCATTTACAACCATGATGCAAGCAGCCATTTCGCAAACAAGAACAATGTTTTTACAAATCCGTGGTCTTATTTCTTTTCGTAAATGTGAAAGTGACTGAATCTTTTTACAATAATTTTCCATTAGGATCTTACCATCTTCTTCAGGAGTATATTTCATTAACTAAAAAAAACATTTAAATTAAACTTCTAAAAAAGTACTAAACGTTAAATATAAATTAAAATACATGATTAAAAAAACCTACATGACCGATAAGTTCCTTTTTTTTATTTGACCTTTCGAGGCATGCATAATAAATATCTCTGATAAATTCATAATCTTGATCATCAAATTGATATTTGTTTTTTAAATTTGAGTTGTATAAATCCATTGCTAATGACGATAGTTTTAATGCTTGATTTTCACACTTTCCTTCACAAAGCATTCTTAAGCGCAAAACAAATACATTACTTTTTTCATACTGGATAAATTTTAAGACTAAAACAAATAAGTATACATTTAAAAATTAAATTATTATTTTATTTTTATAATTTAAATTGTTTTAAAAAATTACCTTCTACTTGAGATGGATTTCCGTAAAGTATTTTTGAAAAACTATGATGACTCCAAGGATTTTTCATCAAAGATATCAAAAAATTACAATACTTTGTTGCCTCTTGTTGTTTATCCTTCATCATTTTAAAAGAACATACTATTTTTCTCAAAACTATAATCAGGTCATTTTTTACTTTTTTGGTAATATCTTCCCAACCTGGATCTAAGATTATTACAGCAGAATCCCTAAAAAATAAAAATAGATTTTAACATAATGTAATCAAACTATATTAAGTAAACTATCACGTTTAACATTTTCTTTAGATTATTTGATGAGAAAACAAACTAATTATGTACATATATAGTTAAAAACACGAGCAAAAAATGTATCTATTCATACACAATGTATATCTAAAATTTAAGAATGTGATGAAGTTTTATTTATAAATTTAGTATTTTTTAGACAGTTAACAATTACACATTAATTTTTTGGATTACTAATTTTCATTTCATTTTGATTTATACTAATTTATTAAATAGTATAGAACAACAGAAGTATTCAAACTGTCTTGACTTCTGGGGGCATCGTAGAAGTTAAAAAAAGGAGTTGCGTTAAATAATTTAAAACTAAAATTAATGTAATATAATCCAAAAATATATAAATATAAATAAAGTTTAACGAAATATCAGTCAAAAGTGAACGTTGATAAGGAAATGAAAATAGCTATATTTAAACTATAACAAAATTTAAACGTATTATTAAATATAAACAAGCTTATCTATCTTACTAAATATGAATTTGTATTTATGAAGCATAAAATATTTCATTTAATTTTTTCTTAATTACCTATTTATTTGTAAAATATTTTTTAATGTCATGTGATAAATAAATAATATAACCATTGTTGCTTATCATTACTAATTTGGGAGCTATAAAAATATTATGAAAACATAAAGAAGCTGTGGTATAAAAAAGTTTTAATATCTCGAGAATAGAAAATTATTTATTAAATTGTGTTTAAAAAAAAATAGAATTTACATAAGTAAAATCATGACTAGATCATCCATACCAAAATTTATTTTTCAAGCATATTATCAAATACTAATCGATTAGCTAAGTGAGTGTATAATAATATTGTAGAAGAAAAATGATGAATACAAGGGTCAATTAATAAAGCATGGTATTATACTTTTATAGCTTTTAGTAGTAAAGTAATTACTATCAAAGTAAAAGTATTGAATAAGTACTTTAAAATGTTAATTTGGTATTTTTAAATTTAAAAGATAAGTACAATACAAACAAAATACAATTAAATCTTTAATACCTGTATTTCTGCTTAACTCTTTATAATTATTTATAAGATAGAAAAATCCTATTTTAAACTATTTTGTAAACTATAAAATAATCAATTTAATATTTGATGATCTATACCAATGTTTTTCAAGTTTTTTTGTCATAGGCCCCTAAATTTAATGTGAAACTGTCAACACCCATCATTTATTATTTTTTCTTAATAATTATATATTAAAACAACTCTAATGTGAAAGACACTTATTTAATTATTACTAAATAACAGTTATCTAACATTAGATTTTATCAAGAATGATTAATTAAATGATTGGTTATTTAGTAACTAAATAACCAAAAATATTTATTTTTTTAAATAAATACTTCACGGCTCTGTTTGAGAAGTACTGATCTATTGTGTCTATACTACTACAAAGATGATTGCCTAGATTTTTTTTATTGATTTTTAATAAACAAAAGTGTAAAATATTTTTTTTACAATATATTTAAAAAAATAATCCATGATAATATTATTTAACATACAATAAGTACCAATTGTATGAAACTAAATATTATCCTCAACAAATGTATAACCAATTACTTTCAGACAAGGACACATTTACAAATACTTAAGACCTAGCTATCTATTAAATCATAAATATATTATTATCTCATACATGAGAATTACTATTAAGTCAGATTTATATTCTTAAGTAACAACATAAAATATGATGTTTATATGCACATTTTTAAAATATATACGCCTGTGTACTTGGAAGAATAATATTAACAAACTAACTTCAAAATCATCCATTTTGTTGGTTACGAATGTTAATGTTCCAAACCCTTAACAGGTCTAATATATTTGTGAGTGATTTGATTTTAATATCATTTAAGTTGCTCTATCGGTAAAAATTTAACAGAAAAAGATATGTATAGTTCTTTAAAATAAAAAGCATAGAATCAATCTAGAAAGAACAAAATAGTTAGATACATTCTAAAGTTATGCTTATTAAGTTCATAGATAAAAAATATTCTCACATTAAAAAGAAACCATTTTATTTTAACTAAATAATATTAGTAAATTAATGTTTAAATACAGATTTAATTTTTTTTTTTTCATACATTGACAACTTATAAAACTGGTATTTTTTCTTTATGAATATGACATTTTGAGCATAAAAATTAAAATTTAAGTTATTGAATCAAATAATTTTTTGTTCACAAATCAATAAATGAAATTAATTTTAATATCTACTATGAGAGTGTGTTATACAATGTAAATAATGATTAAATATTTATTAAAATTCTAAATTTTTGATTCCATTCCTCACACATACACACACTGCATATTTTATGCTAAAAATCAAATAAAAACGAATATAAACTACATTTCATTACCTGACAGCATGATACATAAACATAGGTAATTGAGAGGAGAATGCTTCACAAGTTATTATACTACGACTCTTCTCCCATGTCATTAATAAAGCATATGCCTTGGCCACATAATTCTTTCTTGTATCTTTAATTATTGCACCAAACATCTAATTAACAAAAAAAAATTAGATTAATAACAAAATTAACAATTAAGTATATAGTTATGTTAATAAATAACTGAATTTGTTTACTATTGACAATTTAAAAACCAATATTAAAAGCACTTTTTTATATTAGTTTTAATTTATTTAATTTACATAAAAGATGTTGTAAATTACAAACACATACATGATTAATTAAAATTTTACTTATTAAGTACAGTTAAATTTTATAATTATAACTTTTTATAAAGCATATAAATTAAAATGTTAATGAGTAAGAAATGATATAGTTATAATTTTACATGAATAATAATCCTAATAAAATAGTTCTTTTTGAAGACTATATTAGTTGTTTAATTTAGTATTAAGTGTACGGACATTTAAAAATAAAATAAAAGCAACTAATAGTTTAACTAATTAAACTTTATAATAAATAATAGGAAAATAAATTATGTTAAAATTGAATTAATAATTTACTAGAGGTATTTTTTTAAAAATTATAAATGCTTATTTCAATAAAACAACTTTTTCTAAAACTTAAGTACACAATTAATTAGTTTATTTAATAGTTAATTTTAATCAAATATTTGGTACTAGTTTGTTATAGTCCCACCACTCAAGTTTATTATCGCCCCGCCATCTATATAACAATTAATACATTGTATAAATATAAAATGATGAGTTTATTTATTGATATTTATTAATTTAATAATTCAACAATAAATTGATACAATATTAAAAAAAAATTAAAATTAAAAATGTAATAATAATAAATACTATTTTAAAAAATGTATAAAATTGTTATACTTTCCGTAATTCCTAAATGATGGACAAATTTGTACTATGATGTTTGATCATTATTATATATTATATTGATCCATATTATATGGTAAGTATTTGAGATAGGTACTTATAATAGTGGTAAATTTTTCCATCGAATTATTAGATTATTAGTATTGTGTATTTATTATTATGGAAGGATAACAAACCTGATTAGTGGGGCTATACATTTTTAACTCAATGCAGTGGAGCTATAACAAATCAGTACCAAATATTTAAAGTTACCATTCTAATAACTTTTTGAATACATTTTAAAAATAAGAAACACAAAGATAAAATCAAATTTATAAATATTCATAACAGTAGAAATTTCTATTTTTTTTATCAAATAACTGTATTTACAACTATGTATATAATGTTTTTAAATAAAAACTGTTATATAGGTACCTACATATTTCTTGAACTAATAACTTATAAGCACATTTTAAGTTGTGCAATTACTGTGAGACAATCTGGGTAATATAAAAAAAAAAAAAAACCAATAAAGATAGTATTTTCTAAATAATAAGAATTAAAAATATATGCATTTTCATACTTTTTGGGAAGTTGCATATTCAAAATTTGATTTTACACAAATTTGTTTCATAATACACACAACTCAAATCCAAAAATGTATATTGCATATTTTACAATTTTAAAGATTAATGGATATTATATTGCCAATCAATTAAAAACAATATGATGTCATCATTAAAGAAATCAAATTTAAAAATAAAAAGGAATTATGTGCCTAGGGTCATTTATAGTTTGGATCATCCTATGGATTTAATTTTACTGTTTACTGTGTAATATATTTAATAAAAATATTTATAATTAAAATAAAGGATAAAAACAGTTTCTTAGTAATAAGTAAATTATATGTTAAAACTTTTAGAGTTAAATTTATTATTTATTAACCTGCTTGCAATTTTATTTAATATTAATAAGTTAGTTTTTTAAATAACATTAATTACTTCATACTATTTAATTAGTTAAAAATTATTTATAATTTTAAATATTTTGTCCATCAGATTGAACTGGTATTATTACTTTTGATTAGTCAATTTGTGACATTTTTTACGTTTCTTTTCATAATCAAAAACATATTGGCAAAAGCATTTTACTCTATAATTTATATTGAAGAAATAGTGACTAATTTTTTAATAGCTGATTCTGAATATATTTTTAATTGATGGCAAATATGTATACAAAGTACTATTATTGTTAATGATTTAAATTTGTATCATAATTTAGGTAGGTATTTCAACCATGTATAATATAATTCTAAAATATTAGAATAAAAATTTAAATGAGAATTGGGTTCATCCTAATTATTTTAAAATTAATGCAAACTGCCATTACAATGTTACTAGAAATGTCCACATGACTAGATAACGCCAACAGCATTATTTATTCATAGTTTTTAATTGAAAGTTACGGCAAGATATTATTTAGGTACAGTAAACATTGATTTTAAGGTAATGTTAGAAATTAATTTCTTAATAATACAAATATATTTATACTACTTGTAATTAGGACACAATCCAGATAGTTAAAATTAAATTAAAATAACTAAAAATGTAAAATTTTAATCTACATCAGTAAATAATCAATTAAGAAATAATGTTATTATATTGTTATTATATTAAAAGTATAAAAGACCAAGCAGAAATATAATTACATTTGTGGATAGTCTTAACGTAGTACAAATTGAATTTGACACGTTATTATAAATACAAACTACTAAACTAAACATTATTTCATGAAAAATTATAAGTTAATAGAATAAAAAATAAACAAACTCATTTTTATAATGTATGTATAACTTAACATACAGTGAGGCTAGTTTAACAGTTTTTATAACAATTATAACAGATAGTCAACAATTATTTATTAAAAAAACTTAAGATTTTAATTTTATAAATAATAATTATTAGGTATTTTTAATCTATTTTATTTTAATGGATTATATGCGTGCTATTTATTAAGGATCATTATGAATAACATTATTACAAAGGGATTTACTATGGGAAATTATTTCTATAAAAACATTTTAAACTATTGTTAGTCATAAATTAATATTATTGTAATTATACAAGTATACTAAATTTCAACACAATCAGTATTATACAGATCACACATTCTTAACTCATGTTGCAGAATACACAGATAGGCATACAACACATAATTTGTAGAAAAGTTCAACTATTTATAGTTTTATTTTTAACTGAGAAAGATATAACATCAATTCTTCATAACATAGATAAGAGAACAATCAAAGCACATTTTAAAATATATTGTAACACAATTTTTATTTTTATTTTGAAAAATCTAAAATGTTTCAACATTAAAATATTTTTTGTTATGTGATATAATAAAAATTAAATTAAAATATGATCAGAAGTTTAACTCATTGATAATTGATACTATAGCAATTTTACGAGAACTTTTATTAAAATTTTTCAAAATTCTTATTGGAATACACATTTTGCCTTACTGTTGAAATGAGAATGAGTGTTTTTCATTCTAAAAACGAATTATCACATAACTCCATCAATAATAGGGAAATTTATACGTTTTAATATATACACTAATTATAAAAATTTGTTTTGTTTTAATTTTATACTAAAAACGTCTTTACAGAGTTACATATACATATATGTAAAAACATATAAATTTATTAATACTATCAACAATAAAAAATTTAATCAAATGATAAAACTTTGATATAGGTATTAATATGTCAATAATTCAAACATAAATAGTACCATGACAAATTAAATAGGTATCATCACAGTTGTACTAGTTTTGCACATCTCTTTTACCTCCGGCCAGTCGTATTTCTCCACTCCTGATTAGTTGATTTAGTTTCCCATATTATCATTAGATATTATTATCAAATTTCAACTTTTTATTTTTTTAGCAAAAAATACTAGCTGAAGAACAGAATAATTATATTTTATTGAGTGACAGAAGTAGTTAAGTCCACAGAATAAATTGGGTAACAATTTACGAATTACGATGGAAATTTTTTTTTCAAAGATCTACTATGTAATAATAATTTTTGTATTTTGATTATTCTATGGATCTACGATGAATTGAGAACATTTTGTATTTACGCAGCAATAATGTCAGCCAATAAGAAGTGGAGAACTACGATATAGGTAAAGTGAAGAAATATTTAAGCAGGGGCTGCGTATCAAAAAACCATGATGATACCTATTTAATTTGGCATGGGTAGTACGTTTATAAGCATGTTCTTATATTATTATATTTGTATAAACTAACCTGAAGTACAGTAAAACAATTTGGTGTTGACATTGTTTTTTCTGGATACATAAAACGTTTAATTAATCTATGATTTTCCATCATGAGAATCTGTAAATATAAAATGTTATCAATCAATAAATAGTGTTGAAAACCCTTGCACCCATTTTAGATTAATAAACACATTAATAATAATAATAGTAAAGTAAGCAATATGTTCTTTTTTTTTTTAAGCAACTGTGTCGCAGTCAGTTGAGTGTAAGAACCAATTCATACAACACTGTGTTAACAATTACTTTTTTAGTAATAAATGATTTAGAAAATTAAACAGATTTTTGTTAGTGTTTGTCTAAAACCCTGAAAAATAGCAAACTCTTTAATATTAAATATACTCTTTGGGAATCAAACCAAAAGAGGATATAACAATAGTAATTAAGTAAATATTAACATAACAATTTATTAATAAAATAATACTAACTAGATATCAACTATTCATAAATAAAAAAAAATCAAGATTTTAGCTTTTATCTATTATTTTGGTATTTTTTAAATTTAAGTCAATAAATGGATATATTAAGTTTATTATAGGTAAGTACATAGTTTTAAAAAATACAAACGACTGACCTAATGCAGTTTCAAAAAATATTCAAGAAATTCTATAAAGCTACATTTTTAAATGATAAAAAATTTCAAATACTACTTCTTTTAATAAAATAACTATATAAAACATTGTATAGAACTTTTACATCAATAGATAATATGTATTTATGTATGCAAAAGTATTCATTGATTAAAAAAAAAAACTGTGTACTGTACAAAATAAACTTAGGTTTATTCTAATCAGAATATAAGTTAATAATTACTTTGTTAAAACAAAGTACTAAGTTTAAAACTATCCTAAACATTTTAATTGACAAGATGGGTATACATTTTATTCATGAAATTTAAATCAAATGTTTTGAAAGTCATCATTATTATAATTAGGTAGATCCATTTAATTTTTCTATAAGATATCATTGGATAATTCTTATTGAAATCTAAACTCATATCAAGCAAAATTTATACTAATGTATAAATAAAATAATTGATTTAAATTATAAAATGTAAGCCGAGTCTGAAAAGAAAATATTTATATAGTGTATTATTTTTCCTACAATTGCCCATCTTAGTAATAAATGAAAAGATTCTTAGTTTTTTTAATTGAAAACATAAATGTCGATTATTAAACTTGGCAAACACCCACATAAAAAGTTAGAGGTTTAGAATGTTATGTTCAAGAAAATAATATTTGAGTATCTACAATGTTCACGAGCAGCCGAAAACGCACTTCCACAACAGCAAGATAGTTGTCGACAACAACTATGTCTACTCATGTCGTCTCCAAGACCAAAACTGTCGGAGACATAGCTAAAACCATTCGAGGCAGACAGACGAAGAATATTTGCGTGTGGAAATTTATTTTACGGCCCAACACATTGTCAACAATATTACACACTGTCGCCGGTCGACGCGGCTACCGAACCGTGCACACCGACACGGCCGTAAGCAATGACGACGACGGGCGAGCGTCGTTGGACTTACCGAGCGATCGAATCAGCGTCGGGGCGACATGTCGGACGACACTGCGGCGGTGTGCAGTACCAGACGTCTGTCCGTCGCCGCACAACTACAACAAGTGCAGCGGCAATGGCGGTATCGACGGCGGCGGCGGTGACGACAACGGCAAAGGCGACGACGGCGCGAACGGCTACGACATATTCTGCGGAACGGCGCTGCGCGGCGCGATCGACGGTGGCCGTGCGTGGAGGCTCGCCTGTCGGCGGTCGGCGGACGCGAAAGACGACGTGCCCGGAAACGGCGGTGACGATTTTACGGGACCTGGCACTGGGTAGGTGCCTACACCGTGCGCGATGCGTTATAAGTGACGGACACGCGATGGACCGTGTGTGCGGTGTCCGACTGAAGACGTGCGAATAACGACGTCTGCGATCATTACACCGCGACGACGGTGTTGATGTCGGCGAGCAATGAAGTATGTACGTCTACGGACTCGGACGCCGCGCAATGTTATTAGTCGACAAATGGTTGAAAACAAAAACCCAGTGCGTGATTGAAGATAACGTCTTGTCGTGCGCGGGTGTGTGTGTGCGTATGTGTGTGTGTGTGTGTGTGTGTGTGTGTGTGTGTGTGTTTGAGTGTGTATGCGCGCGCGCGCGTTTGAGTGTGTGTGTACGTACGTATAATAATATAATAGCGAATAATAATAATAATAATAATAATAATAATAATAATATATAATATAATAGTAATAATAATAATAATATAATATCACTGTCGCGCGTGCGTGTGCGCGCGATTGCGTTTACGAGAGCGCGCCGGTCGTGCGGTGTTTGTACGTGTGCGTGCGCGCGTGTATGTGTGTGTGTGTGTGTGCGCTGCGGCGTCGGTGGCGGTGAAGGGGTGAGGCTGGGTGGTGGATGGGGGCGATGGGGAGAGGAGACGGGAAAAATGTACACATAAACCCGAAAGAAAATAAAATCCAACAACCTCTACGCGCGCCGTACGGCACGGATCAACGAAAAGGAAGTACCCCGCGATAAGTGGTAGTAGTTTCGCTGGTACAAACCACATGGACATGGGCGTGTATCGTCCCGACAGTGTGGCCGGTGGCGGCGGCGGCGGACGACGCTCTGCCCGCCACCGGCGCCCACGGTACAGCCAACCCTTGCACTTCGCGCGGGGGTGTGTTTTCCGTGCGGCCGATGACAGCCGGCCGCCGTCGCGGACACCCTGTGCGCCCTTGTTGCTGTGTGAGGGCGCCCGTCCGTCGACTGCTGCGGCGGTGGCGGCTGCTGCACCTGTGCGTGTGGAGGTAAACGCGCGAGCCGTTATCAACGGCGGCTCCGGGCTCCGATCGTGATAACGACGAAACGCACTTTCCGCTGTATGTATTTTGTCATGATATCGTACTGTGTTATCGTCCGTGTTCCGTCCGATCGCGTTATCTGACGATAAAGTGAATAGAGTAATACACTTAAAGTTGACTGTTTTTGGTCGCTTCGGACGAACAACCGTAATGTGAAATTTGATTTTCAATGTTTCATACTGAATAAGTAATAACTTTTCTTTTTTCGTTGTTCGACTTGTATCATTTTATCTAGGTACCTACCATCTTTGTGTCCAAATGAACAAATAAAATAAATAATATCATGACCACGAATGTTAAAAACATGGATATTCTCTGTTCGTCATGGATATTTTATGTATGATAATTATTCCAGCGCCCAATAGGATTAAATTTAATTGTATCAATAGGTATGTATTGGACTCGAATTGATTACATTGAAAAAGTGTTTAATAAATTATGATAATGAAAACCATTTTGAATTTTGATATTTTTTGACGAAAAATGTAATCCTTTGTAATATAATTTGCCTATTGTCTGGAATCTGCTACAGTGCCAAGTAAACCGCATTCAGATTTAGACAATGTGCAGATATGCATACAAATTGTACTGTGTATTTACGTAACAATAACGACAAATGACAATAATAAAAACACGGCGCATGGGATGAATAAATTTGAATTCCACGTGGACAGACAAAAATATTTTTTTACAAGTCTGTTCTTTGTTATATTTTTAAATTTTAAATCGTATTGTGAAACAAAGGTCTAAAGTCCAGACAACCGGAAGTAAACATTAGTTTTAATTGATTTCTTTTTTTTTGCGATTCATTCCTTATAATTATTGTTTGACTTCACGATTTTGGAATTATAGTCATATAAATACTTTTGAACTAATTCAATTTTTGATTCTGAGTAATATGTACAACGACCTAGTCTTTGCTTTCGAAAGAGTAACCATCGTTATACCTATGTATCGACTTTGGAGTTCAGACTGATTTTATTTTATTTTTTAATAACCTATTTATCTTATAACTTTCATTGATACAAATAATGATTATTTTTACTTAAATAATCTTTAAAGCAATTAATTATTTTTTTTAATCATTTGAAATGTAAATGTCTAACCAATATATATTTCTTCAATGACAGTTTAAATTCGATAACGTATAAATGTATAATGCAGTAGATATTTTTGAAATGTTTGGATGATATTTAACGTAAAATAATTTATCGCTTCTAAATTTTACCATCTATATTTAAGTTATATATTTATAGTTATCAACCATTAATCTTTAATTAACTACATTAAACACGAAATGTGTTCCCTTAATTTATATAAATTTATATAGTTCCCTATAATTTCGTAATTATTTTTTGTAATTAATAATAATATTTATTAAACCTAAAATAATTTATTAATACCTACCTACCTATAAGTTACATAAGTCCGAATTAAGGGGAGGGGGTGTAAGGCCTACAACGGATATGAAACAGTAGTAGATTCTTGTTGGTTAGTACGTTTTTTTTTATTAAATAAGAAATATTTAGATAAAATACATCAACATTTCTTATAAGTTTTAATATAAATGTTATTATTATTATTATGCTATTGTAATATCAACAATATTGTCTATTTTTAGAGTAGGATAATAGGTAAGGAATATATGATTTGAAATACTTGAATTAAGATACTCCAAATACGGTAAATACTATGGATTTTTTATGAATTTATGAAAATTAAAATATTATTATTAACCATTAAAAACTAGGTATTATAGAACTATAAACTGTTTTTGATAATAAAGCATATACCATATTATCAGTAATACTACATCAGTATTATATATACTAGTAGTATATTTACTCATCAGTTATTAGCCAAAGCTCTATTTTCCAGTAGGTACAGTGGGTTCCGCTTAATGTGATCACTTTGGTGCAGGTCATTTTGATTCTATTAACCGGTTGATTCTATAAAACATTTACAACATTTTTTTTCATAATTCAATCTTTTAATACAATTACATTTTTATTTAAATTAACATACATATTTAATAATTTATAAGACATAAAATTATTTATTTTTACATTTTTTTTTGTTTAATGGTTCTATATTTAGGTATACATTTATGCTTAAATTAAAATTAAAATTAAATAAATACAAACAAATTAAAGAAGCTATCTATTTTTGATTGTACTTGACAGTCTACCAATTTCATTTCCATATTAGCCTGAAATTAAATTAAAATTAATATTCATGTTTTTTTGTTTATTTGTTTACAATATATAAATTATACATACCTGTAAATTTTTAAACAACTGAAAAGTATCGTTATCGCCGTATTTTTGAACAGCTCCTTTTTACTTTCCCAAAATAATTCTCGTATCTTTTTGAGTGATTTCCTCATTGGTCTCTTCGTTATCGTCATCATCATCATCATTATCATCATCAATATTAGTTTCTTCTTGATTTTTTTTTCAGTTAATCAGTTAATTCTTTATCAGATAATGCTCCAAAAGTAGGTAAATCTCGATCAAAAATGGGTTTTATAAATTAATCAGTTTGAAATACCATAAAAACGATGAGATTGTTCATAAAAGTGATTCAATTATCCGGTACCTAGTGATTCTAATAAAAGGTCAATTTAACATTAGTAACATACAATTTGGTTTGGAATTTTCATTTTTGATTCTAATAAACGGTTGATTCTATAAACCAGTGATCACATTAAGCGGAACTCACTGTATTTCTAAGAATTAACAAATTTTGTCTTGAATATAAAAATTTTTTATTGAAATATTGCTGTTATAAGTAATTATAATTTAACCTTAATAATTATTTTTGTTTAAAACAAGACGATTTATATTATATGTATAATAATACGACTATAAATTAATATATAATAAAAATGCCAAAAATGACATAAACAATATAATACGAAAATCACACGTTGGTATATCTAAAATATTGAGCGTTGTAACATATATGCTTAAGATATATGATTAATAAAAAATTAATGTTTTTACTGACAAGAAGAAAAAATTATAACTTTATTGATGATGGCTGTCATTTTCTGTAATATACACATTTTATATTTTTGAATTTGATTTTAAAGGCTAAGAGAGCTAGATATACTTCCCAATAAATGTAAATAGTTTTTATAATATTATATTTCTACATTTTAAAAATTTCATTAAAAAGTACTTTAAAATTGTCATTTTATGATTTTTCTTGAATTTAAAAACGTTTTTTTTGTGTTTTTTTTATGAATGTATTAGTAACTATTACTTAAGGTTGTAAGATGTTATCATGTATTTATCTGTAATTACTGCAAAGTCTATAATTACAAGTATCCTCGTCATCACTTTACCAAACTTATAAAGGGTTCTGGTTAAATGTCTCCTAAATAACAAATTATCAACTCTCTTCCCACTAAAAAAGAAAAGTTTTGGTTATAACACTATTTACTGTGCAAACTACAAAGTAAGCAAAATCCTGCATTTACTCGTATTTAAGTATTCGTTAATTGACTTTTGTTTTAATCTGATACATTTAAATATCTACTTTGTATAAACAAATTTAAAATATTTGTAATTAAAATACTTTAAGAAGGGTTAATCTTTCATATCGCTTACTACACACGCCGTATCTAATGTTTCCAAGCCTTTGATTTTATTTCTCTGTTTACCATAATCACTCTTTTAATAAAATCCAATGTAACTCTCTAAATATAAACTATAATAGATTATTTCTTAATTTAAGTACCTACTATGTATTCCAATCAAAACATTCTCAGTTTATTTTCTACTTTGTCCTCTTATTATTTCACGTCGGCTTGAACTTTTCTTTCAATCTTTTGGTTAATAATTTTTTGTGAGCTGTAATTTGTAGTCTAAATACTCCTAATGAAGTTATTTATCTGAAAATCCTAGAGGCAAAATGTTTCATAAAATTACTAACAATAACTCAGTCTCTTATTAGCCTCAAAGGCCTGACTTACTAGCCTCTACATTAAAATAAATATACGTATATATAAGATTTCTTCCTCTCTAAACTACCTCCACATATTAAACACTTTTTAAGCAACTTGGTTTTGACCATACTTCTGTTCTTTTAAGTATGGGTAAAACATATGAGCTAAATTTTTCTTACATTTTTTTATCCTAAAGTCCTGTTAACTGGGATACATTTTCCGAAATAATGTATAGTAGTAAAAATCTACAACTCTCGTCGATAACAAACAATGATATCGAAAACGCTACCAAAGATTTTACAGT